GACCGTAACATAATCTTAGGAATACTGGCTGATCAAAATTTGCTGAACAGTTGAAGAATAAAAGAATCAGGAATATCCCAAATAGATTCTCCTGCATATAAATCAAATATCTACCAAACTGAGATTTCATAAAAAAACTTACCATCTACACATGCTAAAACTGGATTCAGAAAAACGATTACAAAAAAGATGCAGCAAGATATCATGATCTCCGCGTTCGTAAAGTAGTTCCGTAAAAATTGGATTGAATTTGGTTCTGCAGATCATTACCGTATAACATTAACCTTCAACATCCCAGGGGTGAATCGATTGTTTATTCTAACTTTGGATTAACTTTCTCAGGTAGCTTTGAACTAAACAAAAGAAGGGTTTTAATAAAGGCAGCTGCCTTCTAATAAAAGACCATTAATATAATAACTTATGAAAACCGTTGACAAATTAAGTACAGCTATTCCATTCAACAAATGATTGAAATTGTGCAGAACGATGTTTCGGGCAAAGACCCACCCGGCTTCTTTTTTTCGAGAAGTTTATCATCATCATTTTTCATTAAATTTTACTTCTTCGAGGTTTCGTCAATCCATAAGTCGCAGTAGAGCAAAAACTCACTATTGATGACATAAATTTTACTAACACCTGCACTCAGTTGAAGTTCCTAAAACCGGTAGAAGAGTAATATCGGGCTAAATGAAAATAAATCTTGAGGTTTTATCAGCGAATATCACTCTAAGAGGCATACACAGGGCACATTTGTTGTCATAAACACGCAGATGGGTGGTCTGGAGATTTAATTAGCTGCAAAGTTCACGCTGAGCTCAGCTACGGGTACTTATACACGAACCCGTCCAAACAACTCCGGTATCGATTTTGGCGAACAGGTAAGTAGAGTCAAGTAATTATGATACTAGTAAAGTTTTGGGTGTCTGTTTGTGGCCTTCTTCAAAAGGAGTTCTAACTCCTTTTGAATTGTGATATCTTTAATAGAACAGCTTATTCTATATAGACTTTAAACTTGTACCTTTCTTGACAACATTAGCTAATTAGTGCCCTCTCAAGGTAAGCGTGTTTTCTTTTCGCTTTGTTATGAACGGTTAGGAGGCACTGACCTTACTTTAACACACATAACATGGAAAACACACTTAACAGGGAAAACATACTCTACAATTATGGCTATGAAACGACTAAATTGACTGGGCACGATTGGTCATAGCTGAGTACGAATCGAATGAGTAAGAAAGGTCCGTTAGTACGAAAGGTAATCAATCAAATTTCTGGCGGTAAATTTCAAAGTAATCAGCAGGTCACTTGTAGAACCACTTGTTTGGAAAAGAGAGGACCTTCGAATAATTTATAGGTTGAGGTCCATCTCTACGGGTAATCTCTTATCAATTACATAACGTGTGTATACGGGTAGCACTGGTGTTTGACCCCTTTGGTCTGATTTTGGGTCAGTATCTCCTTCACTGTTTTGGCCAGAAATCGGTCGAACATTTGAAGTTGGCGATCTATTGATGCAGAAGTAATCAACATAATTGTTTTTTCATTGTTGGCTGTGGCGTGGAAGGGTTTCAAGAGGACATGGCGCCCAACTCAACGGATCACAGAGCCACGGGGGAAGGGGGGGTTGAGGAGGGGAAGGGGGCGCTGCTGGGCTTTTATTTTTTCATCCAAACTAGACATTTTCTAGAAAATGCAAGCTTATTGATTTTTATATTTTCCTGGTAGTTTTGCTTTTGTTTTTTTAAAACAGTGTGTCTGAGATTTTTAACTATTTTAGAGGAAAACTGGCACTTCACTAATCTTCACTGAGTTTAAGTTTTTTTAATTTCAGAACAATCGTATTCTGATGTGCCAATTTAAGTCCTTCCTGAGCTGTTAATGACAAGCATGTACATGAAACTCGGAAGTAGTGGTGCACGAAACTCAGTAGTAATGGTAGTAAACATGTGAAATTGTTTACTTTCAACTCGCCTAAGTCCATGGTGAGGCTCGCAAACCACTTCTTCGTTCCTGTCACATTTGGACGTCATTTGTGATCTGTTTCTTGACAAGCAAATTATGCTGCCACTATGGAAAAACGCGGTTGGATGCGTGTCATCGTGAAATTGCACTCCTAGTCCTCATCGCAAATTTAGATGTAGTTATTTATAGAAGATGAAGGAATTTGTTTTTTATTAATTCTTAACTGATTTCAAATGTATGCAATAGTTACTTGGTAAAAAATGTATGAAACAAACGTAAAACAGCAAAAGAATGCCGTCTCTTCGCACGAACATTTTCTGTATAATCAACTGGTTGATTAAGTTTTTCAGCTCCAAGCTCCTGGTTGCCGCTCTGATTTCACTTTTCAGTTTATTGTTAAATGTATGATTAAGAATTTATTTATAGTATTTGATTGATTATCCTAATGGGTTCCACAAAAAAAGGAACTCTTATCGTGACCTAATACGTACTTAAAATTGTTCAACCATGTTCCTTGTTAAAGGTAACTTCTGTAAACGGTGAACGGCTTTCGTCGATATTAACAATCTAATAGGGCAGCTTATATTAATCAACCGATCGAGTATTTGACACTTTTTCGCTAAAATAACTTGCCTATTAAAAATTATATTGATGAACTAGCACCAACTAATGATTTAATTCTCATCGATAGTAATTGGTTTGAGGAAAAGATGTGACTTGATTCAAGACGACCACTCAAACTTTACCCATTATTTGTTTCTGGAAATAACTGAATTTTCAAATCCAGCATTGCACGATAAATCAGATATTAGACCAATAAATGATTATGATACCTAAGAGAAAATAATGATAATACTTAGGATTATCATTTTCTCTTCTGTTCTTTACGACCAACGGCTATTTTTTCCCCTTTTTTTACGGCTAACAGTTAACCCAATTGAGACCTTCTTTTAATAAACCTTGAGAGCAGTATTCACCTTTGAACTAATAACCACTTATTGCAAAAAAAAAGCAACGTTGTAATATATGTTGAGAGTCGATTTTGTTCTACGGTTGGGTTTTCTTTTCTAAGTAGAACACCTCAAACTCGTCAGGCTCAAAATATAGAACACCTGCCAATATGGTTTGGGGGTTTTGAATAGTGACATTATTTGGTGGAAAGTAATCATTACTAAAATTTGCGACTGACTGGTCATGGTCGTTTTTATCTATTCGGATGTCATCAGTTCCGAATGTTGGTCCGAGGTATATGTGATTTAAGATGGCCCTGTCTGCGTTTTTATCATGGTTTTAAAAGCTCCACAATGTTCGCTGTTGTGTAAAGGAAAGATAGATGCGTTGGGTGTCTCGCCATATTAAAAAAGTAACCCTCTGCTATTTCAAAATCCTCGTGATGCTCATTATAAGTTGAATTATTCAACTCGCAGTTTCGTTGCGTTCCTTCAAATTAAACTGTAAGTTTATGCTGACGCAGTTGTGATCCAGGTAACACTGCCACTCACTCAAGTCCTGGTCCATTTCCGGTATTGTTCTTATCACGTGATTAATCAAGCGTTTTCCAAAGCTGGAAAGGTTACTTGAGAATTCTATTATCCGGCAATTGCCTGTAAGGCAGTCGTTGAAGTCTTCAGTTACGTCAGAATAGATCGAACAAAATCTGAATAGAAACTATTCTCAGCTTGCTTTAACGCGTTTTCATTTGCATAACAAAATATACGCTCATAAATATACTTAGAAAAAAAAAAAACTTTACATGTCAGACCACCCGTTATACAGATTTCCACCTTCATCGCTAACGTGTATGACTTCTCATATGGTTTAATATTGCATTCGAAAAGCTCCTAGATCACTCAAAAACTCACTCATTCAAATTTCATTTGGAACTCCGCTATTTTTTGCGCAGATAAAAAATTAATTAAAAAAGGCACGCTAAAGCCTTCAATATTAAGTGAAATGTTATGCAAATCACGCAAACGATGGATTCAAAATGAAAAAAAAAATAGTAATAATAAATAATAAAGCATCGTTAAGTGATCTGATGTTTAAGAGAGTTGGGAGGGTGAGACTTATATAAAACATAGACCCAGACTACGGACAAAGATATTACTTTTTAGTATAATTTCAGAGCTGAGCAAAGAGTTTCCAGAAATTAAATCTGATTGGTCGAGCGGTTCCTTATATGACGCTATATAAACCGCTCCGCGCGGTTTATATAAGATGTTCAACTAAAATGTTAATAAATGTTATTAAAATGTTATGATTTTAGAGATTTCTCTGTTGTTCAGCTCTGAATTATACTGAAACAGTTATTCGCCTCAGGCTCGGTGAAT